AATATGCTGCTCTTGCTTTGCCAATCCGTGCCTTCACATCTGCATCAGATCCACCGTGTTCATCGATGATACATTCCAAATATGTGAAGGTTTTCACATCTTCCAAAGCTTCTCCGTCAATTGTGATTGAATTGGTACATGCTGTGTTGTATCGAAGAATCTTACTTTTCCCTTTGTGTATATTGAGACCTATTGCTGCTGAGGCTGCTGCTGCTGCTGCTACACTGGTTGTCTTCTCCTGCATTTGTTGTTGCGTATGCGATAGAAGAGCCAGATCATCTGCGAAGTCTAGATCATCCAATTGCATCCTAGCTATTCACTGTATCCTGTGCTTCCCTTCAGATGTTGACGTCTTCATGATCCAGTCGATCACCAGGAGAAAGAGAAAGGGTGAGAGTAAGCAACTTTGCCTGACACCGGTCTTTACTTCGAACGATTTTGTCAACTGTACTCCATGCACGATTTTGCAGTTTAATCCATCATAGGAATTCTGTATGATATTGACTATCTTCTTAGGCACGCCGTAGTGTCGAAGAAGCTTCCATAGGGTTGTTCTGTCCACGCTATCAAATGCTTTTTCGTAGTCAATGAAGTTGATGAAGAGTGATGAATTCCACTCAATCGATCGTTCTACAATGATCCGTAGAGTTGCGATTTGATCTGTGTTGAAAGAAGAGTGATTCCCCTGCAGTTATCACAGTTGCTGAGATCGCCTTTCTTTGGTATTTCGACCAGAGGTCCTTCTTTTCAGTCTTTAGGTGCTTGTTCCTCACCCCAAATCTCTCTGAAGAGAATGTGGAGTATCCATGATGATGAACTCTGTGAACACAACTGAATGTGTGAAGCGATTGACTGATGCTTAAACAGTATTCCTTTGACTTGGTTAGCTGAAAATCTGATTGCATAATATTAAGTTTTCTTCATGAAATCATCACCATATAAATTGAGAGCTGTCAATTAATCTGCTTCAATCAACTGGTGAGAAGAAATCAATGAATTACTATGAGCAGCTACCCGATTGGTCAATCTGTGCATAACTAAAATTCCACCAATCACTTGGTTCATCTCCACTATATAAACAGCAGCAGCAGCAGCAGCAGCAGCAACAGAGGCAGCATCATCAGTTGTTATAGTCGAACGATACTTCCTTTCTTATGCGTTTCAAGCTGCATCAAATGATTGAATATTCGTTCATTATCACCGCGTACATTTCAATTTATCTCTTCAATTGCTTTCACACACAAACAAATGTGACAAATAACTTCACATTGTTATCCTCATGTGAGCAGTGTCCGAAATGTAATACAAATAATATGCATTGCAACTATTCACAATGGATAAGGAGATTGGGACTACCAACGCAGACGTTCTTACAAGACTACTTGTTGAAAACAGTGAAAACCAAATCAGATTGCTTCACTGAATGCCGATCTTATCCTCAGTGTAACTTATACACATATAAATTTGTAAGTTCCACATGCGTTTTACACTTTGACTGAACATGTAGGTAAATATGAGAGAGAGAGAATTGTAGTAGTGAAACGCATTACTATTTGTTTCCAATTTGAACTGTATAATGATAGACGTAGTAACTTGATGAGCATTGAATAATAATAATAATAATAATAATAATAATAATGTGGATAATGCCTTGTTACCATAATCAAATCAACTGTGTACAATCTGCATTGTTGAGAAGCTCTGAGTAACGCTATTGATTTTATAGTCAAACGTATATTGCGATTTGAACTGAATGGATGACAATGGAAAGCAACTAACTAAGAGAATTCAATGAAGGTGTATTTGTTGATAGGCTGTTTTATTTTGATGATTCCTATGTTGGTTTTGTATTCAGATTAGTTAGTGTTGAGATGAAATAGAATGAAACGGTTGTGTTAGTCTGCTCACCATCTCAGTTGTAATCAGTGAATGCAAGAACTAAGTGTTCAGTAACTAGACGTTCATATATATCATTGCGTTTAATAAACTAGTTATGATTTGGACCTGCCACTTTCCATAGTAAAGCAGTTCGCAGTCCATCAGAACTTCCCAATCATATTGGTTCTTTCAATATTTCCGACAGTCACATAACTTCCAGTCGACCATATTCTCTCCAATCAATCTGAAAGAAATCAACCTATTCTGTTCTTATTGAAAATATTGTTACTTGTAGATGACAAGCATCGTTTGTAGTTTGAGTGAACTGAGAGTTTCAATCAACTATTCAGTGTTGAATATGGATTATTGATATTATTGAATGAAATGCTACATACATCAATCATTTGATGTATGAATTGAAGATATAAGAAGTAACTTTTCAAACTTCTTCTTATTTACAGGTGAAACGGAAATTGTGCGATCTGTATTCTGGACTGATTGAACACGCTATGATAAACATCAATTCAAGTGACCATGTGACTGGAGGGAGAGTGTGTTGTTGTAAGTTGAAATCATGTTTATGATCATGGTAATAATGAGCAATGTTTGAAGTGTCAATGACTAGGGCCAGTGTATTATGCTTAATATGATTGAGGATAGTTGTGTTGTATTTTATTTCGGTGAACTGAAATGACACATATCATTTGTGAATATGTAGTTGGTATAAAGAAAGAAGCAAGTGTTTCAATGTGTAGTTGATCGTTAGATGTGAGGTAATCTTTACTGATTAAAACTCACTGTGTCTTAATTGTGCATAGAAATGTCAGTCAGTAAGCAATGGTTGACGGACGTTAGAGAAGAGTGTCAAGTGAAATTTAACAATGAAATACGTATTGTGTAAGTGTGTGTGTGTGTGTGTGTCTGTTTTTGAAGTCCCAGTCTACATGCTCGGAACTGCTGATATTCTAATTAGCTTTAATTTACAAACTCTTCATAACATCACCAATCAGAATGTTTAATCTTCTCTCTTCGAAGCATCTCCTTCCACTAATATGTTTCGAGAGTTAGTTGCTTGATATATCTGAAGTTCCTTGAATGATTAGACTGCAGACAGCAAATCATTAGATGAATGAATGAATGAATGAATGAATGAATGAATGAATGAATAAGGCTGATTGGACTCATTCCATTTGATTGTGGTAAGAGAATGGTGAAGTTTACACTGTACAATTCACATAATACTGGTGATTGCAATCACTCAGCATGATTCAATTTCATATTAGACTAATTTGTCACTGAATATCTATCTTTGAAGTGTAAGATGTTTGCATAATTGGTTTGCACTAATGAAAGTCAATCGTCCATGTAGATCGGTAACACTTTCAAACCATTTTCACTTTGACACTCTTCTTCTCCTTCTTCTTGGTCTTCACCTTCTTCATCTTACATCATTTGACCATTGTACGTTCAATCTGATCTGTAATTGTTTGTGTTCATTCGTTTACTGACTACTGTACTGTTCTGTACCTTAATGCACTGTACTGTACTGTGCTATACTGTACTTCACTATGTGGGACATTCTGTAACTAAATGTAAATAAACTATTCATTTGCTGTTCACCATTAGTTGTTCTTTCAAATAAATCACTGAATAGTGGAAAAGACAATCGTATGTATTGTAATTGATTAGATGGTTGGGTCGTGTTTTCTTTCATGGATAACATTGAAACATGTGAATAATGTGAAGAGAAACTGACGACATTGTAGTCGACTGTAGAGCGAGTAGGTTGACCGATGCGATTCTCTTAGTACATGACACCAGTTGACTGATGTGTTGAAATGGAACATTGAAATTAACGCACTTACTAGTACATTTCACGAAACCGATCATCATCATCATCATCATCATCATCATCATCATCATCGGAATTATTCGGTTCACTCGAAAATAGACAGATTACAGTGATGATTAATGGATGACAATTGCACAGTTGATGTTACAGTGCACATATTTTCCGAGGAGAGACAGAGACAGAGATGAATGAAGGAAATTAGGCAGTGAGTTTGTTTGCTCTGAAATCAATAATTGTAGAGATGAATGGGGATAGAATGAGGAATCTGTGGAAATGAATAATCACTTTAGAATAATATTCGGATTCATACAGATTGTAGTGTAATTTCAAATGTATAATCAATCAGTGATTACAAGTTGTTCAATGTTAGCTTATTTGTTGTTTACATATCGGAACAGATCAAATTGATCACAATTGTTTGTGGCAAATCATCATTGACATGGAAGGAAGGAAGGAAGGAAGGAAGGAAGGAAGGAAGGAAGGAAGGATAATGGTGAAAAGTCGATTTGGACATTTGGCAGTTGATGGCTGATGTCTATTTCATTTGAACAATCATTTGTATATATATATATATGTTAAGTGAAATGTTTATGATCCGTGATCAGAATTCATTTGGGTTGAGATAGAGTGAGAGAAATATTAGTGCAATTACAATTCGATCAAGTGTGCAAGTGTGCAAGTGTGCAAGTGTGCAAGTGTGCAAGCGTGCAAGAGTATATTGTGTGAAATATGATTAGTAAGACATGATAAGGTGGGATGAATACGAAGTGAATGAATCATGTATAGGAGAGATTAATAATGATGTTTAACCAATAATAATAATAATTGTGGAGGATTGGTTTATACTGACACTGTGACCTGTTTGCACTAAATAGTCCAATATCGAGCTGTTCACTTTGTTCACCAGACCCTTGCTTAGCCATGGTGGGAGGTGTTCGCGAGTACGTGAACAATATTCTTCGTTCAAATATTAGTCGTGAAATTATGCAAGTGTCAAGTGATACAAAATCCAGTCACAGCTTTTCCTATGCACTCTTCTTAGTCATCGAGTGTGGAAACTGTGCACAATCAATATTGAGTGACCATGACTAATGGTCTTGTTCACACTAGTTTCACTGAATTCAGTCATCAGCATTGACAATGCAAACACGGAATCAATGCCTACTCAGTAGAACAGGTTCTCGAACACTTGACGAATGATGCATTACATGGTGTTGTAAAATGTGATTACTGACACTGATCGATGAGTTCAAGCATTTTCAGGGTAATTGGTACGTTTACTTCTGTTAGGTGTATCGAAGCCACCAGTTCACCCAATTGAGAAACGCGTAAAACCGAAATTGTGTTGCGTTTAAACAAATGCACAAAACTGTAGATAACCGCTACGATGATTGAGCTAATGTAATTTGAATGATAAATAAAATGATAAATACAATAAACATTATTATAAGTATATGTAAATATTTCACAATATTACACAATAAACATGCGTTAGAAGATTAGTGTAAAAATTACAGGGAACACAACTATTTACTGAATGAATGTAAATAAGTAGTATAAAACAATAGACAAAAGAGTGGAAGAGGGCTGAGTGAGAACCATATAATAGAAATGTTACACCGTCACACCACACCACACACAACATGCATTTCCTTATTCTCACTGACTAGATATTCAGCCTGAACACATTCACAGTTGACAATGGTACAATTCACTCTGGCCACAGTCACTCTGGAAAGTCATTGTACACTTTATGACTCAATTGTCTATTCTCCTAAATAACAAATCGTACGCAAGTTTCTGGTGCATATTTCTCACCTTTACCATTCTCATGCATAGCAGTTATAGTAAATCTTCACTTGACCCACTATAATCTCAGATTGGATTAAATATCGCTCGGAACTGACCAATAAGTCGACATGATTCAGCATCCAATGTACATCGTGTGAATGCATTTGATAAGAATACTGAAGCAGCTTTAATAAGGTTACCTACATGTTCAGTGCAATTCTTACAGACACATTTTCCAGCTCCGAAACTAATATGATATTGTAGCTGTTAAATAAAATATGGTATTTCTGTAACGAAAAAATGTAATACTAATGATAAATCAATTTATCCATCATAACCTGAACGTGTTGCACATCCAATCGTTGTTTCCATGATTTGTTTGATGGAAATTCCATATGTCTGACACGTCAAGGATAACTAAACAAAAGTAAATAGATAAAATGACAACTATCAGTAAATATTGTAGCGAATGCACCATCGACATGATAGTTCAATGAAACTATATCACATCCGTTATGTTGACCTGCTGATTGATATATGCAGTAAACAAACATTAAGCCGTTCAAGCATTTCCAGTTGATTATACTGAGCATTAGAATCGCGTATAGTTGTCTTCGATATACCACCTAATCGACTAACTAGTATTGGTGAGCATGGTTTATTTCAATTGGAATCTAACCAATCCCCTTGTTCTAACAGTGAAAGTTGTCTTGTAGCTCTTAAATGATCAAAACAATTATTACATCCTACCAATGATTCTAATGAATGTTGACTAGTTCCGATAATTTTATTCTGTGTTGTGTATATTCAGTGATTAGTGCAAAAATGATATTGCTGATGATGATGATGATGATGATGATGATGATGATGATGATGATGATGATGATGATGATGATGATGATGATGATGATGATGATGATGATGATGATGATGATGATGATGATGATGATGATGATGATGATGATGATGATGATGATGATGATGATTTGGATGATCATCATCATGATGATGATGATGATGATGATGTTGATGATGATGATGATGATTTGGATGATGATGATGATGATGATTTGGATGATGATGATGATGATGATGATGATGATGATGATGATTATTATAATTATAATGATGATGATGATGATGATGATGTTGATTTGGATGATGATGATGATGATGATTTGGATGATGATGATTTGTCTGATGATGATGATTTGGATGATGATGATGATGATTTGGATGATGATGATGATGATGATGATGATGATGATGATGATTTGGATGATGATGATGATGATGATGATGATTTGGATGATGATTTGGATGATGATTTGGATGATGATGATGATGATGATGATAATGATGCTGATAATGATGATGATGATGATGATGATGATGATTTGGATGATGATGATTATTTGGATGATGATGATTTTGATGGTGATGATGATGATGATGATTTGGATGATGATGATTTGGATGATTTGGATGATGATGATGATGATGATGATGATGATGATGATGATGATTTGGATGATGATGATGATGATGATGATGATGATGATGATAATGATGTTTGGAATAAATGCCTTATTATCTAATACAATAACAATAAACATGCTTATGTATAAGGGAAGGACGTGTGAACCACAATATGAGGGAAGCAAATGTCGAATGTGTAATTTTCTTTTATGGGAATTAGAAGAACATGTTTATGTGAAGGCATTCACTAATAATTCAACAACAACAACAACAATAGTCATAATAATAATAATAATAATAATAATAAAGGGTTAAGGTCAGGATGGAGATGAATATGGGAAATGATTGATTTGTAAAGAGAGTTTGAATCGCAATTGGATGGATATCTGGATGATGTATTGTGTTCAATAGTTGCTACTGATGACAATTGAAGATACTTGTGAACTCGTCACACAATCGTGTCGATAATGTGACGACGTGAAAATGTTCAATAAATCCCACTGGAAACTTTCCGAATTCTGGATAGACAATCGCTATCATCACTAACCAAGATCAGGTCTGATTACATTGTAGTCAACAGTTGTGAATGCAACCTGATTGCCTGTTAATCAGAGTTTGGTTAGTCAGTAATTGTTGTAGACAATTCTACTTGGAAACCTAGTCAAATTTATTGTTCACTTATCAACCTTGATGAACACACACACACACACACACACGAACAGATCGGTAAATTCGAGAATATCGAAAGTATATTTTGCCAGAGACAACATTTTCAAGCACTTCATATATCTGTGGGAAATGTTGTGGTGAATTTGCCTACATGAAGTGTGAAGAGGGAACAAGCATGGTTACTGAACAATAACAATGATACAACTAAGCCATATGGTGTTTATGAGAAAAAAAACGCAGAGATGTTCAACATCTACTCAATGTTTGTAAACACAAAAATATGCACAACACTGATACATAAACAACGAATTGTAAACTGAATGGAATACGTGCATGGGAATATACGTCACATTGTTCAAGTCGGAGTGATATTAATAATAATAATAATAATAATAATAATAAACAGGTTGGTGTGGGTTTGTGGAATCATGTGAATAAATAAACATAATGAGAAGACTACAAATTGCATTCTATGAATGAATGCAGTTGTTTATTTACAAAATGATAATCAGAATAACCATTCTAGGTAAAGGTCAAGTAAATGAAGAACAGAGATGGGAAATCTCTCATTTGTATTGGGATTTTCAGCTTCATCTGATATTTCATCGCAATATCTATAGATCTAAGCAGCTTCAAATAATCAAATGTTATCAGACATTGAGTAGATTCATTGAACAATAGTGAAATACGATTGTGAGTTATCTGTGTTGTATAAGTCAATACGGTGTTTCAACATAAACATTCTCAACTGATCTCGTTTTATACTTGTGTAAACAATTCGATACGACTGATGGTTTAGTTGGTGAAAGTGAACCGTATCCTCAACCAATACATCTTTCATCATAGTAGTACAAATTATCGATGGCTGTCCAAAGTGAAAGTGAGTTTCATAGATTTTCTATGTATTATTTATTATCTGCAAATGTGTTTACTAATTTCGGTGAAAGATTTATCTTTAATATGCTACTTACTGTGTAAATTCTGTTCAGCAGGCTTCATAAAAGTACTAACCGATCTGACTGGAAGTGTTTCATTCGGTAAACATTGTTTATATTAGCGTTTGAGCATAATGTACATTTCACAGAGGCTCTGACAGCGTTCATTATCAGGTTCAATGGTTGTTGTTACACGACGCATTTGTTAGTCTACTGTTAACATGGAAACGTTTGATATTACGATCTGAACACAGCATACGTATAGGCGGCCGTCCTGCATTCTCCAACCCACTCTGTCCTGGGCCTTCTTTTCTAGTTCCATGCAATTCTTGTTCATTTTTCTCATATCCATCTCCATTTCCCGGCGTAATGTGTTCTTTGGTCTTCCTCGCCTTCTTCGGCCTTGAGGATTCCATGTGAGGGCTTGTCTTGTGACGCAGTTCGGTGCTTTCCTCAATGTGTGTCCTATCCACTTCCAGCGCTTCTTCCTGATTTCTTCCTCCACTGGGATCTGGTTTGTTCTCTCTCACAGTAGATTATTGCTAATAGGGTCTGGCCAACGGATCCGAAGTATTTTGCGTAGACAACTGTTAATAAACACCTGTATCTTTTGGACGATGGATTTCGTAGTTTTCTAGGTTTCCGCCCCATACAGTAGAACTGTCTTGACATTTGTATTGAAAATTCTGACTTTGGTGTTGGTTGACTGACAGTTGTTTTGAGTTCCAGATATTCTTCAGTTGTAAATATGCTGCTCTTACTTTGCCAATCCGTGCCTTCACATCTGCATCAGATCCACCGTGTTCATCGATGATACATTCCAAATATGTGAAGGTTTTCACATCTTCCAAAGCTTCTCCGTCAATTGTGATTGAATTGGTACATGCTGTGTTGTATCGAAGAATCTTACTTTTCCCTTTGTGTATATTGAGACCTATTGCTGCTGAGGCTGCTGCTGCTGCTGCTACACTGGTTGTCTTCTCCTGCATTTGTTGTTGCGTATGCGATAGAAGAGCCAGATCATCTGCGAAGTCTAGATCATCCAATTGCATCCTAGCTATCCACTGTATCCTGTGCTTCCCTTCAGATGTTGACGTCTTCATGATCCAGTCGATCACCAGGAGAAAGAGAAAGGGTGAGAGTAAGCAACTTTGCCTGACACCGGTGTTTACTTCGAACGATTTTGTCAACTGTACTCCATGCACGATTTTGCAGTTTAATCCATCATAGGAATTCTGTATGATATTGACTATCTTCTTAGGCACGCCGTAGTGTCGAAGAAGCTTCCATAGGGTTGTTCTGTCCACGCTATCAAATGCTTTTTCGTAGTCAATGAAGTTGATGAAGAGTGATGAATTCCACTCAATCGATCGTTCTACAATGATCCGTAGAGTTGCGATTTGATCTGTGTTGAAAGAAGAGTGATTCCCCTGCAGTTATCACAGTTGCTGAGATCGCCTTTCTTTGGTATTTCGACCAGAGGTCCTTCTTTTCAGTCTTTAGGTGCTTGTTCCTCACCCCAAATCTCTCTGAAGAGAATGTGGAGTATCCATGATGATGAACTCTGTGAACACAACTGAATGTGTGAAGCGATTGACTGATGCTTAAACAGTATTCCTTTGACTTGGTTAGCTGAAAATCTGATTGCATAATATTAAGTTTTCTTCATGAAATCATCACCATATAAATTGAGAGCTGTCAATTAATCTGCTTCAATCAACTGGTGAGAAGAAATCAATGAGTTACTATGAGCAGCTACCCGATTGGTCAATCTGTGCATAACTAAAATTCCACCAATCACTTGATTCATCTCCACTATATAAACAGCAGCAGCAGCAGCAGCAGCAACAGAGGCAGCATCATCAGTTGTTATAGTCGAACGATACTTCCTTTCTTATGCGTTTCAAGCTGCATCAAATGATTGAATATTCGTTCATTATCACCGCGTACATTTCAATTTATCACTTCAATTGCTTTCACACACAAACAAATGTGACAAATAACTTCACATTGTTATCCTCATGTGAGCAGTGTCCGAAATGTAATACAAATAATATGCATTGCAACTATTCACAATGGATAAGGAGATTGGGACTACCAACGCAGACGTTCTTACAAGACTACTTGTTGAAAACAGTGAAAACCAAATCAGATTGCTTCACTGAATGCCGATCTTATCCTCAGTGTAACTTATACACATATAAATTTGTAAGTTCCACATGCGTTTTACACTTTGACTGAACATGTAGGTAAATATGAGAGAGAGAGAATTGTAGTAGTGAAACGCATTACTATTTGTTTCCAATTTGAACTGTATAATGATAGACGTAGTAACTTGATGAGCATTGAATAATAATAATAATAATAATAATAATGTGGATAATGCCTTGTTACCATAATCAAATCAACTGTGTACAATCTGCATTGTTGAGAAGCTCTGAGTAACGCTATTGATTTTATAGTCAAACGTATATTGCGATTTGAACTGAATGGATGACAATGGAAAGCAACTAACTAAGAGAATTCAATGAAGGTGTATTTGTTGATAGGCTGTTTTATTTTGATGATTCCTATGTTGGTTTTGTATTCAGATTAGTTAGTGTTGAGATGAAATAGAATGAAACGGTTGTGTTAGTCTGCTCACCATCTCAGTTGTAATCAGTGAATGCAAGAACTAAGTGTTCAGTAACTAGACGTTCATATATATCATTGCGTTTAATAAACTAGTTATGATTTGGACCTGCCACTTTCCATAGTAAAGCAGTTCGCAGTCCATCAGAACTTCCCAATCATATTGGTTCTTTCAATATTTCCGACAGTCACATAACTTCCAGTCGACCATATTCTCTCCAATCAATCTGAAAGAAATCAACCTATTCTGTTCTTATTGAAAATATTGTTACTTGTAGATGACAAGCATCGTTTGTAGTTTGAGTGAACTGAGAGTTTCAATCAACTATTCAGTGTTGAATATGGATTATTGATATTATTGAATGAAATGCTACATACATCAATCATTTGATGTATGAATTGAAGATATAAGAAGTAACTTTTCAAACTTCTTCTTATTTACAGGTGAAACGGAAATTGTGCGATCTGTATTCTGGACTGATTGAACACGCTATGATAAACATCAATTCAAGTGACCATGTGACTGGAGGGAGAGTGTGTTGTTGTAAGTTGAAATCATGTTTATGATCATGGTAATAATGAGCAATGTTTGAAGTGTCAATGACTAGGGCCAGTGTATTATGCTTAATATGATTGAGGATAGTTGTGTTGTATTTTATTTCGGTGAACTGAAATGACACATATCATTTGTGAATATGTAGTTGGTATAAAGAAAGAAGCAAGTGTTTCAATGTGTAGTTGATCGTTAGATGTGAGGTAATCTTTACTGATTAAAACTCACTGTGTCTTAATTGTGCATAGAAATGTCAGTCAGTAAGCAATGGTTGACGGACGTTAGAGAAGAGTGTCAAGTGAAATTTAACAGTGAAATACGTATTGTGTAAGTGTGTGTGTGTGTGTGTGTCTGTTTTTGAAGTCCCAGTCTACATGCTCGGAACTGCTGATATTCTAATTAGCTTTAATTTACAAACTCTTCATAACATCACCAATCAGAATGTTTAATCTTCTCTCTTCGAAGCATCTCCTTCCACTAATATGTTTCGAGAGTTAGTTGCTTGATATATCTGAAGTTCCTTGAATGATTAGACTGCAGACAGCAAATCATTAGATGAATGAATGAATGAATGAATGAATGAATGAATGAATGAATGAATAAGGCTGATTGGACTCATTCCATTTGATTGTGGTAAGAGAATGGTGAAGTTTACACTGTACAATTCACATAATACTGGTGATTGCAATCACTCAGCATGATTCAATTTCATATTAGACTAATTTGTCACTGAATATCTATCTTTGAAGTGTAAGATGTTTGCATAATTGGTTTGCACTAATGAAAGTCAATCGTCCATGTAGATCGGTAACACTTTCAAACCATTTTCACTTTGACACTCTTCTTCTCCTTCTTCTTGGTCTTCACCTTCTTCATCTTACATCATTTGACCATTGTACGTTCAATCTGATCTGTAATTGTTTGTGTTCATTCGTTTACTGACTACTGTACTGTTCTGTACCTTAATGCACTGTACTGTACTGTGCTATACTGTACTTCACTATGTGGGACATTCTGTAACTAAATGTAAATAAACTATTCATTTGCTGTTCACCATTAGTTGTTCTTTCAAATAAATCACTGAATAGTGGAAAAGACAATCGTATGTATTGTAATTGATTAGATGGTTGGGTCGTGTTTTCTTTCATGGATAACATTGAAACATGTGAATAATGTGAAGAGAAACTGACGACAGTGTAGTCGACTGTAGAGCGAGTAGGTTGACCGATGCGATTCTCTTAGTACATGACACCAGTTGACTGATGTGTTGAAATGGAACATTGAAATTAACGCACTTACTAGTACATTTCACGAAACCGATCATCATCATCATCATCATCATCATCATCATTATCATCATCATCGGAATTATTCGGTTCACTCGAAAATAGACAGATTACAGTGATGATTAATGGATGACAATTGCACAGTTGATGTTACAGTGCACATATTTTCCGAGGAGAGACAGAGACAGAGATGAATGAAGGAAATTAGGCAGTGAGTTTGTTTGCTCTGAAATCAATAATTGTAGAGATGAATGGGGATAGAATGAGGAATCTGTGGAAATGAATAATCACTTTAGAATGATATTCGGATTCATACAGATTGTAGTGTAATTTCAAATGTATAATCAATCAGTGATTACAAGTTGTTCAATGTTAGCTTATTTGTTGTTTACATATCGGAACAGATCAAATTGATCACAATTGTTTGTGGCAAATCATCATTGACATGGAAGGAAGGAAGGAAGGAAGGAAGGAAGGAAGGAAGGATAATGGTGAAAAGTCGATTTGGACATTTGGCAGTTGATGGCTGATGTCTATTTCATTTGAACAATCATTTGTATATATATATATATATGTTAAGTGAAATGTTTATGATCCGTGATCAGAATTCATTTGGGTTGAGATAGAGTGAGAGAAATATTAGTGCAATTTTAATTCGATCAAGTGTGCAAGTGTGCAAGTGTGCAAGCGTGCAAGAGTATATTGTGTGAAATATGATTAGTAAGACATGATAAGGTGGGATGAATACGAAGTGAATGAATCATGTATAGGAGAGATTAATAATGATGTTTAACCAATAATAATAATAATTGTGGAGGATTGGTTTATACTGACACTGTGACCTGTTTGCACTAAATAGTCCAATATCGAGCTGTTCACTTTGTTCACCAGACCCTTGCTTAGCCATGGTGGGAGGTGTTCGCGAGTACGTGAACAATATTCTTCGTTCAAATATTAGTCGTGAAATTATGCAAGTGTCAAGTGATACAAAATCCAGTCACAGCTTTTCCTATGCACTCTTCTTATTCATCGAGTGTGGAAACTGTGCACAATCAATATTGAGTGACCATGACTAATGGTCTTGTTCACACTAGTTTCACTGAATTCAGTCATCAGCATTGACAATGCAAACACGGAATCAATGCCTACTCAGTAGAACAGGTTCTCGAACACTTGACGAATGATGCATTACATGGTGTTGTAAAATGTGATTACTGACACTGATCGATGAGTTCAAGCATTTTCAGGGTAATTGGTACGTTTACTTCTGTTAGGTGTATCGAAGCCACCAGTTCACCCAATTGAGAAACGCGTAAAACCGAAATTGTGTTGCGTTTAAACAAATGCACAAAACTGTAGATAACCGCTACGATGATTGAGCTAATGTAATTTGAATGATAAATACAATAAACATTATTATAAGTATATGTAAATATTTCACAATATTACACAATAAACATGCGTTAGAAGATTAGTGTAAAAATTACAGGGAACACAACTATTTACTGAATGAATGTAAATAAGTAGTATAAAACAATAGACAAAAGAGTGGAAGAGGGCTGAGTGAGAACCATATAATAGAAATGTTACACCGTCACACCACACCAAACACAACATGTATTTCCTTATTCTCACTGACTAGATATTTAGCCTGAACACATTCACAATTGACAATGGTACAATTCGCTCTGGCCACAGTCACTCTGGAAAGTCATTGTACACTCTATGACTCAATTGTCTATTCTCTTAAATAACAAATCGTACGCAAGTTTCTGGTGCATATTTCTCACCTTTACCATTCTCATGCATAGCAGTTATAGTAAATCGTCACTTAACCCATGATAATCTCAGATTGGATTAAATATCGCTCGGAATTGACCAATAAGTCGACATGATTCAGCATCCAATGTACATCGTGTGAATGCATTTGATAAGAATACTGAAGCAGCTTTAATAAGGTTACCTACATGTTCAGTGCAATTCTTACAGACACATTTTCCAGCTCCGAAACTAATATGATATTGTAGCTGTTAAATAAAATATGGTATTTCTGTAACGAAAAAATGTAATACTAATGATAAATCAATTTATCCATCATAACCTGAACGTGTTGCACATCCAATCGTTGTTTCCATGATTTGTTTGATGGAAATTCCATATGTCTGACACGTCAAGGATAACTAAACAAAAGTAAATAGATAAAATGACAACTATCAGTAAATATTGTAGCGAATGCACCATCGACATGATAGTTCAATGAAACTATATCACATCCGTTATGTTGACCTGCTGATTGATATATGCGATAAACAAACATTGAGCCGTTCAAGCATTTCCAGTTGATTATACTGAGCATTAGAATCGCGTATAGTTGTCTTCGATATACCACCTAATCGACTAACTAGTATTGGTGAGCATGGTTTATTTCAATTGGAATCTAACCAATCCCCTTGTTCTAACAGTGAAAGTTGTCTTGTAGCTCTTAAATGATCAAAAACATTATTACATCCTACCAATGATTCTAATGAATGTTGACTAGTTCGTTTACATACAGGAGATATCGGTTGATCAAACGATTGATTCGAATCTTGCACCAACCTCGATTTAACCTGTTCTGAATGTGTACGTTAAATAAATGCGTTATGTTTAATGCCTTGTTGGTTGCCACAAACATGAATTAAAAAGGCTGATCAACTTTGCAATGACAAGAATCTCATGAAATTGGTTCGATGTGATAGATTTCAGAGTGATATATTGTACCATCGTATATTGTGATTGTCAAACCACAAACAACATGATTTCACTGACGAATCTGCTTGAACGACGAATTCTTGATGTGCATCGTTCAAATGACCATCATACGATCATTGATTAACATGATATAAGAAACTGGAGACAATAGTGGACATGAAATTTTGCATAATCAACGTTACTTCGGGGTCTCTATGAAGTGTATAAGCAAGCAATTCATCTGGAAATGCTCCACCTCTTAACCTACGACATACATCACATAAGTCAACCGAAATTCGTAATCTCGACCGAGGATCTTCAGTCCATAAAACTTACTGAGTTGATGTCAATGGTTGAGCAAATGATAACGAAGTGATTGACTGATGATTACTGATATGATCATCACGACAAGTTAGAACACACTACATTCCTCATTTGTTGCACCGAATTGAATGTGGCGAACACTTGGATTTGAAGAAGCCTTCCGCCACAAGGAATTGAATAATATGACACTTTTGAATATTACTCCACACTACTGATCAGTATTGAGTAGCACGTCTCATTCCCGTAGAGAGTATGATAAGAAAGTGATATGAAATGAGATATATATGTATATATATGATGAGTTTTTAACCACCTGATCAAAGTAGATCCAAGCAATCATTATTCATAGTTAGCAAACAGAGACAGAGACAGAGAGTGATAGTGATAGTGAGAGTGGGAGAGATTAAGATAAGAGGAGAGTGAAAGCTTTTAAACGAATATGTATTATTGAAGTGGAGAAGACTAATTGTAATTATTGAAAGGGCATAGAGAATACGTGTTACGCTGTTGTTTGTACACAGGACATAGTCAATGGAATATTCAGTTGCTGATTTCATCTTGCACAGCAACCGATAACCAGTAATGTTGACAGTCGATTGCATAATGTCATGGTGTACAAATATGATTTGAGATGGATGATTTATCATCATACCAGTTGATTGATGTCTTAACAAGAATATCCGATAATTTTATTCTGTGTTGTGTATATTCAGTGATTAGTGCAAAAATGAAAATGTACAATCTCATTCAATGATGAGAATGTGAAAATGAGCCAATGATGGATACGAGAACCTAACGAAAACGGTCACAAAACCTAATCGCTAAGAGTGAGACATTGATGTCTGATCATGTTGTTGTTTGAATTTCAAAAGAAGTTAATGTAAATAAACGGTGAGTGTAACACTGATAAACAAACCCTGAATTATACTGTGAATAGAATGATATGAAGATGATGATGATGATGATGATTTGGATGATGATGATTTGGATGATGATGATGATGATGATGATGATGATGATGTTGATGGTGATGATGATGATGATGATTTGGATGATGATGATGATGATGATGATGATGATTTTGATGGTGATGATTATGATGATTTGGATGATGATGATGATGATTTGGATGATGATGATGATGATGATGATGATTTGGATGATGTTGATGATTTGGATGATGATGATGATGATTTGGATGATGATGATGATGATTTGGTTGATGATGATGATGATTTGGATGATGATGATGATGATGATTTGGATGATGATGATGATGATTTGGATGATGATGATGATGATTTGGTTGATGATGATTATTTTGATGATGATTTGGATGATGATTTGGATGATGACGATGATGATGATGATGATGATGATGATGATGATGATGATTTGGATGATGATGATGATGATGATGATTTGGATGATGTTGATGATTTGGATGATGATGATGATGATTTGGATGATGATGATGATGATTTGGATGATGATGATGATGATTTGGTTGATGATGATGATGATTTGGATGATCACGATGATGTGATGATTTGGATGATGATGATGATGATGATGGTGATGATGATTTGGATGATGATGATGATTTGGATGATGATGATGATGATGATGATGATTTGTATGATGATGATGATGATGATGATGATGATGATGATTTGGATGATGATGATGATTTTGATGGTGATGATGATGATGATGATGATGATGATGATGATGATGATTTGGATGATGATGATGATGATGATGATGATGATGATAATGATATTTGGAATAAATGCCTTATTATCTAATACAATAACAATAAACATGCTTATGTATAAGGGAAGGACGTGTGAACCACAATATGAGGGAAGCAAATGTCGAATGTGTAATTTTCTTTTATGGGAAGTAGAAGAACATGTTTATGTGAAGGCATTCACTAATAATTCAACAACAACAACAATAGTCATAATAATAATAATAATAATAATAATAAAGGGTTAAGGTCAGGATGGAGATGAATATGGGAAATGATTGATTTGTAAAGAGAGTTTGAATTGCAATTGGATGGATATCTGGATGATGTATTGTGTTCAATAGTTGCTACTGATGACAATTGAAGATACTTGTGAACTCGTCACACAATCGTGTCGATAATGTGACGACGTGAAAATGTTCAATAAATCCCACTGGAAACTTTCCGAATTCTGGATAGACAATCGCTATCATCACTAACCAAGATCAGGTCTGATTACATTGTAGTCAACAGTTGTGAATGCAACCTGATTGCCTGTTAATCAGAGTTTGGTTAGTCAGTAATTGTTGTAGACAATTCTACTTGGAAACCTAGTCAAATTTATTGTTCACTTATCAACCTTGATGAACACACACACACACACACACACACACGAACAGATCGGTAAATTCGAGAATATCGAAAGTATATTTTGCCAGAGACAACATTTTCAAGCACTTCATATATCTGTGGGAAATGTTGTGGTGAATTTGCCTACATGAAGTGTGAAGAGGGAACAAGCATGGTTACTGAACAATAACAATGATACAACTAAGCCATATGGTGTTTATGAGAAAAAAACGCAGAGATGTTCAACATCTACTCAATGTTTGTAAACACAAAAATATGCACAACACTGATACATAAACAACGAATTGTAAACTGAATGGAATACGTGCATGGGAATATACGTCACATTGTTCAAGTCGGAGTGATATTAATAATAATAATAATAATAATAATAATAATAATAAACAGGTTGGTGTGGGTTTGTGGAATCATGTGAATAAATAAACATAATGAGAAGACTACAAATTGCATTCTATGAATGAATGCAGTTGTTTATTTACAAAATGATAATCAGAATAACCATTCTAGGTAAAGGTCAAGTAAATGAAGAACAGAGATGGGAAATCTCTCATTTGTATTGGGATTTTCAGCTTCATCTGATATTTCATCGCAATATCTATAGATCTAAGCAGCTTCAAATAATCAAATGTTATCAGACATTGAGTAGATTCATTGAACAATAGTGAAATACGATTGTGAGTTATCTGTGTTGTATAAGTCAATACGGTGTTTCAACATAAACATTCTCAACTGATCTCGTTTTATACTTGTGTAAACAATTCGATACGACTGATGGTTTAGTTGGTGAAAGTGAACCGTATCCTCAACCAATACATCTTTCATCATAGTAGTACAAATTATCGATGGCTGTCCAAAGTGAAAGTGAGCTTCATAGATTTTCTATGTATTATTTATTATCTGCAAATGTGTTTACTAATTTCGGTGAAAGATTTATCTTTAATATGCTACTTACTGTGTAAATTCTGTTCAGCAGGCTTCATAAAAGTACTAACCGATCTGACTGGAAGTGTTTCATTCGGTAAACATTGTTTATATTAGCGTTTGAGCATAATGTACATTTCACATAGGCTCTGACAGCGTTCATTATCAGGTTCAATGGTTGTTGTTACACGACGCATTTGTTAGTCTACTGTTAACATGGAAACGTTTGATATTACGATCTGAACACAGCATACGTATAGGCGGCCGTCCTGCATTCTCCAACCCACTCTGTCCTGGGCCTTCTTTTCTAGTTCCATGCAATTCTTGTTCATTTTTCTCATATCCATCTCCATTTCCCGGCGTAATGTGTTCTTTGGTCTTCCTCGCCTTCTTCGGCCTTGAGGATTCCATGTGAGGGCTTGTCTTGTGACGCAGTTCGGTGCTTTCCTCAATGTGTGTCCTATCCACTTCCAGCGCTTCTTCCTGATTTCTCCTCCACTGGGATCTGGTTTGTTCTCTCTCACAGTAGATTATTGCTAATAGGGTCTGGCCAACGGATCCGAAGTATTTTGCGTAGACAACTGTTAATAAACACCTGTATCTTTTGAACGATGGATTTCGTAGTTTTCCAGGTTTCCGCCCCATACAGTAGAACTGTCTTGACATTTGTATTGAAAATTCTGACTTTGGTGTTGGTTGACTGACAGTTGTTTTGAGTTCCAGATATTCTTCAGTTGTAAATATGCTGCTCTTGCTTTGCCCATCCGTGCCTTCACATCTGCATCAGATCCACCGTGTTCATCGATGATACATTCCAAATATGTGAAGGTTTTCACATCTTCCAAAGCTTCTCCGTCAATTGTGATTGAATTGGTACATGCTGTGTTGTATCGAAGAATCTTACTTTTCCCTTTGTGTATATTGAGACCTATTGCTGCTGAGGCTGCTGCTGCTGCTGCTACACTGGTTGTCTTCTCCTGCATTTGTTGTTGCGTATGCGATAGAAGAGCCAGATCATCTGCGAAGTCTAGATCATCCAATTGCATCCTAGCTATTCACTGTATCCCGTGCTTCCCTTCAGATGTTGACGTCTTCATGATCCAGTCGATCACCAGGAGAAAGAGAAAGGGTGAGAGTAAGCAACTTTGCCTGACACCGGTCTTTACTTCGAACGATTTTGTCAACTGTACTCCATGCACGATTTTGCAGTTTAATCCATCATAGGAATTCTGTATGATATTGACTATCTTCTTAGGCACGCCGTAGTGTCGAAGAAGCTTCCATAGGGTTGTTCTGTCCACGCTATCAAATGCTTTTTCGTAGTCAATGAAGTTGATGAAGAGTGATGAATTCCACTCAATCGATCGTTCTACAATGATCCGTAGAGTTGCGATTTGATCTGTGTTGAAAGAAGAGTGATTCCCCTGCAGTTATCACAGTTGCTGAGATCGCCTTTCTTTGGTATTTCGACCAGAGGTCCTTCTTTTCAGTCTTTAGGTGCTTGTTCCTCACCCCAAATCTCTCTGAAGAGAATGTGGAGTATCCATGATGATGAACTCTGTGAACACAACTGAATGTGTGAAGCGATTGACTGATGCTTAAACAGTATTCCTTTGACTTGGTTAGCTGAAAATCTGATTGCATAATATTAAGTTTTCTTCATGAAATCATCACCATATAAATTGAGAGCTGTCAATTAATCTGCTTCAATCAACTGGTGAGAAGAAATCAATGAGTTACTATGAGCAGCTACCCGATTGGTCAATCTGTGCATAACTAAAATTCCACCAATCACTTGATTCATCTCCACTATATAAACAGCAGCAGCAGCAGCAGCAGCAACAGAGGCAGCATCATCAGTTGTTATAGTCGAACGATACTTCCTTTCTTATGCGTTTCAAGCTGCATCAAATGATTGAATATTCGTTCATTATCACCGCGTACATTTCAATTTATCACTTCAATTGCTTTCACACACAAACAAATGTGACAAATAACTTCACATTGTTATCCTCATGTGAGCAGTGTCCGAAATGTAATACAAATAATATGCATTGCAACTATTCACAATGGATAAGGAGATTGGGACTACCAACGCAGACGTTCTTACAAGACTACTTGTTGAAAACAGTGAAAACCAAATCAGATTGCTTCACTGAATGCCGATCTTATCCTCAGTGTAACTTATACACATATAAATTTGTAAGTTCCACATGCGTTTTACACTTTGACTGAACATGTAGGTAAATATGAGAGAGAGAGAATTGTAGTAGTGAAACGCATTACTATTTGTTTCCAATTTGAACTGTATAATGATAGACGTAGTAACTTGATGAGCATTGAATAATAATAATAATAATAATAATAATAATAATAATAATAATAATAATAATAATGTGGATAATGCCTTGTTACCATAATCAAATCAACTGTGTACAATCTGCATTGTTGAGAAGCTCTGAGTAACGCTATTGATTTTATAGTCAAACGTATATTGCGATTTGAACTGAATGGATGACAATGGAAAGCAACTAACTAGGAGAATTCAATGAAGGTGTATTTGTTGATAGGCTGTTTTATTTTGATGATTCCTATGTTGGTTTTGTATTCAGATTAGTTAGTGTTGAGATGAAATAGAATGAAACGGTTGTGTTAGTCTGCTCACCATCTCAGTTGTAATCAGTGAATGCAAGAACTAAGTGTTCAGTAACTAGACGTTCATATATATCATTGCGTTTAATAAACTAGTTATGATTTGGACCTGCCACTTTCCATAGTAAAGCAGTTCGCAGTCCATCAGAACTTCCCAATCATATTGGTTCTTTCAATATTTCCGACAGTCACATAACTTCCAGTCGACCATATTCTCTCCAATCAATCTGAAAGAAATCAACCTATTCTGTTCTTATTGAAAATATTGTTACTTGTAGATGACAAGCATCGTTTGTAGTTTGAGTGAACTGAGAGTTTCAATCAACTATTCAGTGTTGAATATGGATTATTGATATTATTGAATGAAATGCTACATACATCAATCATTTGATGTATGAATTGAAGATATAAGAAGTAACTTTTCAAACTTCTTCTTATTTACAGGTGAAACGGAAATTGTGCGATCTGTATTCTGGACTGATTGAACACGCTATGATAAACATCAATTCAAGTGACCATGTGACTGGAGGGAGAGTGTGTTGTTGTAAGTTGAAATCATGTTTATGATCATGGTAATAATGAGCAATGTTTGAAGTGTCAATGACTAGGGCCAGTGTATTATGCTTAATATGATTGAGGATAGTTGTGTTGTATTTTATTTCGGTGAACTGAAATGACACATATCATTTGTGAATATGTAGTTGGTATAAAGAAAGAAGCAAGTGTTTCAATGTGTAGTTGATCGTTAGATGTGAGGTAATCTTTACTGATTAAAACTCACTGTGTCTTAATTGTGCATAGAAATGTCAGTCAGTAAGCAATGGTTGACGGACGTTAGAGAAGAGTGTCAAGTGAAATTTAACAGTGAAATACGTATTGTGTAAGTGTGTGTGTGTGTGTGTGTCTGTTTTTGAAGTCCCAGTCTACATGCTCGGAACTGCTGATATTCTAATTAGCTTTAATTTACAAACTCTTCATAACATCACCAATCAGAATGTTTAATCTTCTCTCTTCGAAGCATCTCCTTCCACTAATATGTTTCGAGAGTTAGTTGCTTGATATATCTGAAGTTCCTTGAATGATTAGACTGCAGACAGCAAATCATTAGATGAATGAATGAATGAGAAAGATTGAATGAATAAATGAGGCCGATTGGACGAATTCTAATTGATTGTGGTAAGACAATTGTAAAGTTTACAATGTAGATTATGTCCAATTCACATAATACTGGTGATTGCCATCACTCAGAATGATTCAATTTCATATTAGACTAATTTGTCACTGAATATCTATCTTTGAAGTGTAAGATGTTTGCATAATTGGTTTGCACTAATGAAAGTCAATCGTCCATGTAGATCGGTAACACTTTCAAACCATTTTCACTTTGACACTCTTCTTCTCCTTCTTCTTGGTCTTCACCTTCTTCATCTTACATCATTTGACCATTGTACGTTCAATCTGATCTGTAATTGTTTGTGTTCATTCGTTTACTGACTACTGTACTGTTCTGTACCTTAATGCACTGTACTGTACTGTGCTATACTGTACTTCACTATGTGGGACATTCTGTAACTAAATGTAAATAAACTATTCATTTGCTGTTCACCATTAGTTGTTCTTTCAAATAAATCACTGAATAGTGGAAAAGACAATCGTATGTATTGTAATTGATTAGATGGTTGGGTCGTGTTTTCTTTCATGGATAACATTGAAACATGTGAATAATGTGAAGAGAAACTGACGACATTGTAGTCGACTGTAGAGCGAGTAGGTTGACCGATGCGATTCTCTTAGTACATGACACCAGTTGACTGATGTGTTGAAATGGAACATTGAAATTAACGCACTTACTAGTACATTTCACGAAACCGATCATCATCATCATCATCATCAAAATCATCATCATCATCATCGGAATTATTCGGTTCACTCGAAAATAGACAGATTACAGTGATGATTAATGGATGACAATTGCACAGTTGATGTTACAGTGCACATATTTTCCGAGGAGAGACAGAGACAGAGATGAATGAAGGAAATTAGGCAGTGAGTTTGTTTGCTCTGAAATCAATAATTGTAGAGATGAATGGGGATAGAATGAGGAATCTGTGGAAATGAATAATCACTTTAGAATAATATTCGGATTCATACAGATTGTAGTGTAATTTCAAATGTATAATCAATCAGTGATTACAAGTTGTTCAATGTTAGCTTATTTGTTGTTTACATATCGGAACAGATCAAATTGATCACAATTGTTTGTGGCAAATCATCATTGACATGGAAGGAAGGAAGGAAGGAAGGAAGGATAATGGTGAAAAGTCGATTTGGACATTTGGCAGTTGATGGCTGATGTCTATTTCATTTGAACAATCATTTGTATATATATATATGTTAAGTGAAATGTTTATGATCCGTGATCAGAATTCATTTGGGTTGAGATAGAGTGAGAGAAATATTAGTGCAATTTTAATTCGATCAAGTGTGCAAGTGTGCAAGTGTGCAAGCGTGCAAGAGTATATTGTGTGAAATATGATTAGTAAGACATGATAAGGTGGGATGAATACGAAGTGAATGAATCATGTATAGGAGAGATTAATAATGATGTTTAACCAATAATAATAATAATTGTGGAGGATTGGTTTATACTGACACTGTGACCTGTTTGCACTAAATAGTCCAATATCGAGCTGTTCACTTTGTTCACCAGACCCTTGCTTAGCCATGGTGGGAGGTGTTCGCGAGTACGTGAACAATATTCTTCGTTCAAATATTAGTCGTGAAATTATGCAAGTGTCAAGTGATACAAAATCCAGTCACAGCTTTTCCTATGCACTCTTCTTAGTCATCGAGTGTGGAAACTGTGCACAATCAATATTGAGTGACCATGACTAATGGTCTTGTTCACACTAGTTTCACTGAATTCAGTCATCAGCATTGACAATGCAAACACGGAATCAATGCCTACTCAGTAGAACAGGTTCTCGAACACTTGACGAATGATGCATTACATGGTGTTGTAAAATGTGATTACTGACACTGATCGATGAGTTCAAGCATTTTCAGGGTAATTGGTACGTTTACTTCTGTTAGGTGTATCGAAGCCACCAGTTCACCCAATTGAGAAACGCGTAAAACCGAAATTGTGTTGCGTTTAAACGAATACACAAATCTATAGATAACCGTTACGATGATTGAGCTAATGTAATTTGAATGATAAATACAATAAACATTACTATAAATCTATATAAATATTTCACAATATTACACAATAAACATGCGTTAGAAGATCAGTGTAAAAAATACATGGAACACAACTATTTACTGAATGAATGTAAATAAGTAATATAAAACAATAGACAAAAGAGTGGAAGAGGGCTGAGTGAGAACCATATAATAGAAATGTTACACCGTCACAACACACACACACAACATGCATTTCCTTATTCTCACTGACTAGATATTCAGCCTGAACACATTCACAGTTGACAATGGTACAATTCACTCTGGCCACAGTCACTCTGGAAAGTCATTGTACACTCTATGACTCAATTGTCTATTCTCTTAAATAACAAATCGTACGCAAGTTTCTGGTGCATATTTCTCACCTTTACCATTCTCATGCATAGCAGTTATAGTAAATCTTCACTTAAACCATGATAATCTCAGATTGGATTAAATATCGCTCGGAACTGACCAATAAGTCGACATGATTCAGCATCTAATGTACATTGTGTGAATGCATTTGATAAGAATACTGAAGCAGCTTTAATAAGGTTACCTACATGTTCAGTGCAATTCTTACAGACACATTTTCCAGCTCCGAAACTAATATGATATTGTAGCTGTTAAATAAAATATGGTATTTCTGTAACGAAAAAATGTAATACTAATGATAAATCAATTTATCCATCATAACCTGAACGTGTTGCACATCCAATCGTTGTTTCCATGATTTGTTTGATGGAAATTCCATATGTCTGACACGCCAAGGATAACTAAACAAAAGTAAATAGATAAAATGACAACTATCAGTAAATATTGTAGCGAATGCACCATCGACATGATAGTTCAACGAAACTATATCACATCCGTTATGTTGACCTGCTGATTGATATATGCGATAAACAAACATTGAGCCGTTCAAGCATTTCCGGTTGAGTATACTGAGAATTAGAATCGCGTATAGTTGTCTTCGATATACCACCTAATCGACTAACTAGTATTGGTGAGCATGGTTTATTTCAATTGGAATCTAACCAATCCCCTTGTTCTAACAGTGAAAGTTGTCTTGTAGCTCTTAAATGATCAAAAACATTATTACATCCTACCAATGATTCTAATGAATGTTGACTAGTTCGTTTACATACAGGAGATATCGGTTGATCAAACGATTGATTCGAATCTTGCACCAACCTCGATTTAACCTGTTCTGAATGTGTACGTTAAATAAATGCGTTATGTTTAATGCCTTGTTGGTTGCCACAAACATGAATTAAAAAGGCTGATCAACTTTGCAATGACAAGAATCTCATGAAATTGGTTCGATGTGATAGATTTCAGAGTGATATATTGTACCATCGTATATTGTGATTGTCAAACCACAAACAACATGATTTCACTGACGAATCTGCTTGAACGACGAATTCATGATGTGCATCGTTCAAATGACCATCATACGATCATTGATTAACATGATATAAGAAACTGGAGACAATAGTGGACATGAAATTTTGCATAATCAACGTTACTTCGGGGTCTCTATGAAGTGTATAAGCAAGCAATTCATCTGGAAATGCTCCCCCTCTTAACCTACGACATACATCACATAAGTCAACCGAAATTCGTAATCTTGACCGAGGATCTTCAGTCCATAAAACTTACTGAGTTGATGTCAATGGTTGAGCAAATGATAACGAAGTGATTGACTGATGATTACTGATATGATCATCACGACAAGTTAGAACACACTACATTTCTCATTTGTTACACCGAATTGTGTGTGATGAACACTGGGATTTGAAGAAGCCTTCCACAAAGTGGAATTGAATAAAATGACACTTTTGCATATTACTCCACACTACTGATCAGTATTAAGTAGCACGTCTCATTCCCGTAAAGAGTATGATAAGAAAGTGATATGAAATGAGACATATATGTATATATATGATGAAATTTTAACCACCTGATCAAAGTAGATCCAAGCAATCATTATTCATAGTTAGCAAACAGAGACAGAGACAGAGAGTGATAGTGATAGTGAGAGTGGGAGAGATTAAGATAAGAGGAGAGTGAAAGCTTTTAAACGAATATGTATTATTGAAGTGGAGAAGACTAATTGTAATTATTGAAAGGGCATAGAAAATACGTGTTACGCTGTTGTTTGTACACAGGACATAGTCAATGGAATATTCAT